AACACCTCTGAGATAGTTATATTCAACTTAGGGCATCAGAAAAGAGAACATTAACAAACAGAAAAACATACTACAGAGAGAGAAGAGGAACAGAAGGGGAGCAGAAAAGGGAGGAGTGGGAGAGAGAGAGAGAGAGAGAGAGAGAGAGAGAGAGAGAGAGAGAGAGAACAACAAACATCAAAATTCTATAGAATGAACTATCAACCATTCTAGGGAAAAATAGATGTCATATCACGCACTTATATTCATATTCAAGGTTTGTGACATTACTTTTAGTCTAACAGGAGAGCCATTTACATGTTTAATAGTGATATGTTTATAGTAATGACCATATATGTGAATATAAACATAAAGTACATGTATATGTATGACATAATTTATATACTATAAATTCATATTGCTTGTTGTGTATAGGAGAGTTTATGGGAGCATAATCTTAAAAGGAATTCCAAAAAGTCAGGGTTTTATTTTATATGCTGAAAATTCTTTATTGTCTCAAAATATTTCTTATTTTAATTTGTCTCCCTAGATTTAATATTTTTACAGATATTATTCAAATGATATGAACCTTGTTGACAGTGTTTAATATGATACAACATAGCATGATTATATACCAGTGAAAAGTTCATTGAAATTAATATAGTGAATGTATCTACAACTTAAATACTTTCTATTGTTGCTCTGTAATCCTCACTCTTTCCTTCTCCAGACAGTAGATATCCATTCCATGTGTCTGGCAACAGTTTCCAGTTTCTACACTTTTGATGTGCTAGATGTGGACAGTGTAGATCTATGTCAGACATCTTATTCTGTGTAATTATTCAGACACCCATCTAATTTATTTATTACTTTCCTAATTAATTTCTCTTCAGTGCTAAGGAATGTTATACTGTAGGGATATACCATGACTTTTCCATTGACCTATTTTTGGCTGTTTGGCAAATTTTTATTGGGGGTTACAAATAAAGGTGTTTTATGGATTTTCATAAAATGTAAAATCACATTTTCATAAAGTTGGCTAAATACCTAGGAATGGAATGATCCCATCATAAAGTAGGTATATTGTTATCTCTGTGAAGTTGTTTTTAAAGTTATGTTATGTCGATTAAAAATATGAATATTCCAGAAAGCTTATTGATCCATACCCTTGCCGTAGCATAGGAAGCACTGACTTTTAGCTATTTTACTAGGAACCACTACTACTTCATCATAGTTTATTTGAAATTCTCTTATGTCTTGTGTATGCTTAATCATTCCACATTCCTTGAGAGCTTATTCTCAAAATAGAATGTGGATACTTAATCCTTCCAAGTTCTCCTGAGAATTTATCTCAGAATAGAATTTACTCAAGATTTCCATCTCAAAAATTGGTCGCATATTAAGTCATGAGAATGGCTTATATTTTATGTTTAGGTTTCATGTTGAGTGTTTGTTTGCTGAGACTGTGCTTTTCCTACTCATTTTCATAATGGCATCTGTCGTCGTTAAGGTTTCCATTGCTGGGAAGTGACTGGGGCTTTTATAAGTGAAAACATGTAATTGGAGCTGGCTTACAGGTTCAGAAGTTTAGTCCATTATCACTATGGTAGAAAGCATGACAGCATGCAAGCAGGCATGGTGATAGATAAACAGCAGAGAGTTTATATCTATATCCTCAGGCAGCCAGAAGGAGACTGGATTCTGTATTGGACAGGACTTGGACATATTTACAACCTCAAAGCTCACCCCAATGACATATTTCCTCCAACAAGGCCATGCCTTCTAATACTGCCACTCCTTATTACCTGAACATTTAAACACATGGCACCCAAACCTATTCAGCGTCTGTGAAGAGAAAACACAGTATGACTCAGTCTATATTCTTTATAAATATTTTAGAGTTTGTGTCTTTTATGCTTCAAAATTTTCAAATCTACAATATTATGATCTTTTCAAATGTTTTCTTCTAATTTCACAGTTTGAAATTTTTTAATTTACATCTATTACTTTAGATTTTTATATTTGCAGCTTTTTAAAGTTTATTTCAGTGTAAAATGTGAAACTGTGGTCAATAGCCACTTTCTGGAACTTTCATCTGCTATTCTAGCGATTCTATTTTAATTTTTTATTATGAAAATATTTTCATATTTTGGTAATGACTAGAAACATATATCTAGACTCTTATATGTTCCTTTTTTTTCTTTCTCTAGAATTAGGCATTTCTTTGACTGCTATAGCTCTTCCTACAATAAACCCTCTGTTTTTCTGATTTCAAAAATAATGTTATACCTACTCTTTATTCTTTATGTTTTCATCGAACATTTAAAATCAGCTTTCCAGTTTCTACAATAACAGCAAAATATCTCTAAGGTATTTAGTTTTTAAGACACTATCTCATTGGGTAGCTCAAGCTAGCCTTAAAATCAAGTTCTTTTCTCAGCTTCAAGAGTGCTGGGAATACAGATATGTTTTATGAAACCCAGCAATTTCTGCAGCATTGCACTCTGCCACCCTGGGAAGAATATGTCTTCTGATCATAACACATATGTCTTTGTTTCTATCCTTTCAACACTCTCAGTCAGCCTTTGAACTTTTCAACAAGGCCTGCATATGTTTTGTCAAACTTATCTGTATACATTTTATGGTTTTTGTGCTGTTATGATGTCTCCTTTTCAAATTCAGCTAATTTATTTCTATTCAGTATTCTATACAGGCAATGTTATTTTTCCCATACTTTGTGTACTATAAACATGCTAACTTCAGCTACAAGCTTGCCTACCTCCTTTGTAGATTCCAACAGATTTCCTGCACTGATGTCCACAATATCTGAAAAGAAATTTTCATCCATTGCCTCAAATAGAATGTGTTTCTTTCTATTTTTTCCTTTAGTCCATTGACCATAGCATAAGAAAGTACCCAGTAGAAGTCATGAAAGCAACAAGCAGTCATGATTGTCCTCTTAATGTCAAAGAATTCAGGTTTTTTTGACAATATATATTTTTCCATTGTATGTGTATGTGTCTAGTACAGCTGCTCTCTCTCTCTCTCTCCCTCTCAATGAATATTCTAGTTATCAGATTTTTTTCCTTAACCTGATAAAAATGTTTAGTCACAGAGACACTTAGGATCTACACTTGCACTTCCCATGACAACTGCACTTACTTGTATTAGACTAACGTTTGGATACGTTACTATATATTCTTCTTTAGCTTTTTATTAAGAAAATGTCATTTGTATGATAATGAGTGTTGGGTTTTTTTTTTAAGTTTTGTCCAGGCTTTTTTATTGAGAAGATACTGGCCTAGTAGAGTAATTCAGAGGACTTCTATTCCTTTAATGTTCAATGATGAGAAGACTCCATCGTGAAAGAGGAGAAAGTGTAAACTAAGTAATTAGTCATTGATAAAATTAGAGTATTTTTTCAAAATGAATAATTCCCTAACTATAATATACACAAGGATCACCTGAAAATTCATTGAATTTGACCTTGTCTATGTTCAAGTTGTACACTATAACCATCCCTCAAAAAGGAGGTGAACCATGTGCTGAGCACACTTCTTCAAATTAGAAAATGTTTGCTAGAACCAAAGCATCAGAAACACCTGAGAACTTTTCCAAAACCAAAAGTTCTGTGCTCACTGAGGTGTGCTACTCAGTAACTCTCCAGGAGCAACAGAGGATGGTGTATCCTCTAGAAACTTTCAAGGTGATTGAAATGCACACAGAAGTTGAAGAACACCTATATAAATTAGTGAAAAAGCAGGGAGGAATGGAGAGTTAAAACATATGGAAGGAGGATGAAAATAAATAAGAACAAGTATGCTAATTTTGGCTGTTACTTTGGAATGTTGGACTAACGTCTCTACACAGGCATCTCTTAGGACTTGAGAAGCATCTGAGAGTCAGGGAAGTGTCAGTGAGTTAGATGTTTGAGGATTGTTGAGGCAGATGGATGAATCTATCTATATGAACTACTGAGTAGATGACATTGTAAGGAATTAATGCTCATGTAAGAAACCTGATTTTCAGCCTTCAGTTCTTACAAAGTATCTGTCCCTTAACATTATCTTCTAGGCATGCTATGAGATGCTCAAGGTGTTGCGATGGTTGCCAGTTTCTTGAATTTGCATGTGGGTATGTTGCCCAATGGATGAATGGGAAAATACATGGAAACAGTTACAGAGAGTATTTGCAAGTGGGTCAATGACTGTAACCATGTCTTATGGTTTTCATGCTATTTAAAGAGAAAAATGAAAACAAAAAGAATGACAATTTGCAAAGAGAAAGTTTTAGGAATGACGAATTCAACACTCTTGATAAGGTGTAGGAATTGTTTTCACAGGAATATTTTTAAAATGAAGTTGAGTGTAAATTTTAGTGACTGAAAATGTTTGTTACTTGGTGTGTTTTGTGATGACGAAAACAAGGAAGCACATTGGTGTAGAGGTTGGTGTCTATTGGGTGAGAACATGGACACAGAGATAGCTATTGATGTGGTAAACATGAGCTTTATATAAATACTTCAATATTAAAGTAGTAGAAAGATGAATAATGACAGAACTCAAAACCAGAATGAAATAACACAGAAATATGAGCACACAGAATATAAACTCAAAGTTGTTATTTGCATCAGAAACACGGAGGGACACTTACCTTCTAGGTCAATAAATAGAGCCCTACTCCAGTTACTAAAACATATGCTCCTACAATTTTAAGAACTCATAAAATTCAATTATAATATTTACTAAGTTGTTATATGAATGAGAGTGAGAGTACTTATGTGTCTGAACAGATATTAAAAGAAAAAAAATGAAAAGTAATAGATATTTATGGTATAGATCTCTACAAAGAAAGAGAATCATAGTATCTTCCTCATGTTTTTCTCCTATTCACAGCAGGAACAACCACAATCAACAATATTGTCTTTGAAAGACTCCTACCAGTTCAAAAGTACTGAGATGGAGATTGCTGCCTCTGTGCCCCACTAGCATCCATTCTAATTCTGTTTTTCAAATTCACAGAGAGTGAAGACGTTTATCAAAGGCAGGTGCTGTCAATTTCATGTATCATCTTTGGAATTGTCATCGTGGGCATGTTCTGTGCAGCCTTCTACTTCAAAAGCAAGTAAGACCATTTCTCTGGTGCTTAAAGGTTCCTTCTTAAAGAAAGATCTTTTTCTTTATTTTTTCAATTTCAGCTGCAAGCAGAGGGATTCTTTGCACCTGGGTGAAATAATGATCTGCAGAGAATTAAGGCCTTCTATGGACCATGATAAATGTATACAGGCATGTAGTTGGGGGGAGGCTCCTCTGATACACATTGTAGGGAAATCTCAGATACATGCAGTGATCGTTTGCACAACTTAATCACCTGTCTGCCTTAAAGGCTCAATGGCTGCCATTAAAGAACTAACTTCTCAGTTGGAAGTGGGGTGGGGAAGAGGGATCCTCTGCCATGAATTTAAGTCCTATCTACCATTGTCCATAGAAAAAATTTCCGAGGAAAAAAACAAAACAAAAACAAAAACAAAAAAACAAAAAAAAAATCTACACAAAAGTCTCAGTTTACTTTCAAACAGTTTTTGCCTTGTATTCATAAAATCTAAGCCACATTAAGGAAAGAATACACACATACACACAGACACACACACACACAGACACACACACACACACACACACACACACACACACACACGTACATTGGTTCAGTTTGGCATCCAGAACTTGAATATGCTGTGAATTTCACTTGCCAAGAAACTATCGTCTTGTGAAGGGACTTAAAGATGATTCATAAAGTAGAATTAAATATATATTTTATGTATGGAAATGTGTTCATAATGCTAGATTCAAATAAAAGAAAATGGTGGAATTATTTATGGAAATGATGTCATTTCCAATTAAAATAGCAATTGCACATCAATGTGTTAGTCTTTTGGGTTCCTAAGCCTTAGAGATATTGGCTTCAGTTTCACACCTGTGGCCTGCCTGAAATCATAGACAACATGAAGTTGCTTCTCTTTGGATCCCTGTTTTTCTGTCCATTTTCTCTTCCAAAAATGGTTACAGTTTATAACACCTGTCTGTAAGTCACATGTGTCGATTTTTAAAGGGAGCTATAATTATGACTTTAAATAAAACATATTGGGGCATGACTACATGATTAGAAACTATTATTTCAACAAACTTTTTAAAATGCTTTTAAAATTTGAGAAAGACTATAATAACCAGACATAAGTTTCTCATGCATTCTAGACCTAGTTCCCCTGTTATTAGAGTCTTGTACTAGCGTGGTATTCTTGTCACAATAATGCCCAATAATTGTATGGTATAACTAATGTCCCTAGTTTCAGCCTTCCTTAGGTTTGACATAATGCCTTCCCTTCTCTTCCCTTCCCTTCCCTTCCCTTCCCTTCCCTTCCCTTCCCTTCCCTTCCCTTCCCTTCCCGTCCCTTCCCTTCCCTTCCCTTCCCTTCCCTTCCCTTCCCTTCCCTTCATTTTCCTCTTTCTTTCTTTCTTTCTTTCTTTCTTTCTTTCTTTCTTTCTTTCTTTCTTTCTTTCCTTCCTTCTTTCTTTCTTTCTTTCTTCCTTCCTTTCTTCCTTTCTCCCTTTCTCCCTTTCTTCCTTTCTTTCTCCTTGATTGATGCCCTTATCCAGAATACCACATGACATTTTCTGCTACATCTCTGTAACTATTATCTGTGATAGTGGTGATTTCCAAACATGTACCTGGCACACTGGGCTTTTTAGTAATTAACTCTCAGCCCTGCAGCATCACAAGTTGTGTTGTTAATGTATTTGTCAGCTTCTATTTCCCTAAAAAAAACATGTGGAGGAGTCAGTGTGTAATGGAAACACTGTTTAGTGCCAGATTCCTCATGGGAGACTTACAGGACCAAACTGATGGAGAAACACACACTGGGACAATGTCTTCTACCTGCAGTAGCTATTGAGGAGCTATTGGCAATTCATGGCTGTTGGGGGGTGGGAGCTGGAGAGCCAGATTTCTTTAAGATTGCTTATTCTCAGAGGCTACCCATACTCCAATCAAAGGTCCTACACCCATGTGCATACAGAAAACACTAAGTTGACCTGACTTAAAAAAAAAAATAGAGACCATGAATACGGATGGGAAAAACATGGTAGGATATGATAGAGGAGAAATCTTGGAGAGTATGGGTGTGGATTTGATCAAAACATATTAGAGAATGTATGAGTATTACATAATGTAAAATAAAGTGGAGAATAGAAGAAAAGATAAAATAAAAGAGCTATAAAAATTGCAATAATAAAAATCAAAGGCCTTTCCAACTGGAATAATATTTCTCATCAAAGATCTGAAGTGAATTGTCCTTATGCTCCTGAGTCTAATGACGTCAAGTGCTAACTCCCTACTAACAAAACTGAACGTACACTATTATACCTGCTTCCTTTTCTCTAATATTAGAGATGAAAGAATTGGCTTGCTCTTAATTTTAATGCATAAAATATAAATACAGTATATCATTTAGAAGCCTCAATTCTAACAGGATCTTAAGAGACTTTTCATTGATCTCCAGATGAGTTCACTGGAGCATCCATTTGGTATACTGAGATGTAACCTCTGGCTATGGAAAGCTGGGGCTTTACCAAAAGCTCCATGCTTGAAGTCAGTTATATTATATTTCCATAACAACTCCGATATTGCTGTTCCAGTCTTTTTTTAGTTAGTTAGTTATTTTCTATCCTGATTGCAGTTCCCCTCCCTCCTCTATTACCAATCTTACCTTTCTTCACCCATCCACCTAATGTCCTCATGTCCTCAGAAAAGAGGAGCAAACCCTTGGATACTAAGCAGCCATGGTATATCAAGTTGCAGTAAGACTAAGTGCATCTTCTATTAAGACTAAACAAGGAAGCCCTGTTAGGTGAAATTGTCCCAAAGACAGGCAGCCAAATTAGATACAGACCCTGCTTCCCCTTTAAGAGTCTCGCATGAAGAACCAGCTTCATAACCATTACATGTAAGCTACTCAAGTCTTTTCTCCCTGTCTTGATACACTCGGCACTAAGTGACCTCATCACATGCTATCTTGACCACTGTTACTGCTCAGTTGGTTGCATAAACCTGGGGGCATAGAGCCTAAAAATGAAGTGGACTGAAGTCTCACACAACTTTATTCATGGCATCAGACAATTTATATTTTGAAGGTGTTACAGGGCTTAAGCAAGAAAGAATGAGCAGAGTTCACATGAGTTTAGGCTATGTACAGTCATGAGGACAACCAGTGCTTGATAGCATACTCTGGATAGTAATAGCAGATTAAAGGTAATATGATGTAAACCCACTCCTCTTTGCTACATCTGGGAGGAACATGGGAGCACATTTCAAGAACAACCCATGCTGTGGAGGAACAGAGGTCACAAGACTGTGACCTTATTTTGTAGGAGTTTTCTAGCAAGATCTTAGAATTTTCCTCACATAATTTCATGGATTACGTTCTGACATACAACCTCATATATAATGTAGAAGTATGGCTGAAACAAAAATGAAGGTAGGCAACATAAAGTAGCAGAAATGAAGACATCTTACAGTCAGAATGTTCTGGTGGGGATAACTGAATCCTCTAGCAATGCCAAAGAACAGTCGGAAAGGATTTCTAATCATTCCCAATGAGCCCACATGGTCCAATTTACAGAGTGTATGATGATTCATTCAAGCTGCTACCTATGCTTCTTTGGTTTCATTGGAAACAATTCTTATAGGTGTTTCTCATTACTTTTAACCTAGAGAAGGAAGAAGGATGAGGTTTCCTGAACTAGTCCTTAGTGAACTAAAAATCAATCACACAGCTCAACTCTAAAATTAGTTTCATGGTCAGGAGAGAATATGTGCATAGGTAGAATCAGAGATGAGTTATCAAAATCTGTAAAACAGTGGAAAACATGGGAATTAGAATTTCCATTAAACATACACACACAGACGCACACACACACACACACACATACACACAAAGTCAATAGCATCCTAATTCTTCCTGTGTGATGTGGTTTGTGTAAAATATTCTGGGTTGATGTGTATATTCTGATGGACTATTGTTATCTTCTGCAGCAATAAAAGTCTTTGTCCCAAGTTGTCAGCATACAAAAACTTGCTTTCAAGCAACCTGCTTTGAGATGCCATACCTGCAATAGTAGATCAATGTGATACTCTGAAGATAGAACCACAGGTCTACATTGGATTCATAACCAAGCCAGCTTAAAAATGCCTCATGAGGCTTGCTTGTTGTTACCCTTAGTGAACCCAACTCCAGTTTCTCTCACTCCACAATCCCCATTTCTTCACTTACAAAGAAGGTAACATTACATACATTTTCTGAGTACTACACCTAAGCCAAGGTCTGCTTCCTCAGAAACTCAGCCTATGACACTAGAAATGATAGATGCCAACTGGATTGTGGCATCTACTCTTCTACTGTGGACACCCCCTCCTAAGGCATTGGGCCAGAGATACCTATGACATGGTAGTCTGCTAAGCCTGAGTCCTTATATTATTGAACTGGGAGCATTTTAGGGTGCATGCACAGACCTTGCATGTAGTGACTGTTTTCAAAGGAGGAAAACAAACCAGTCAGATGTTTGTCATTTCCTCTGTTCCTGTTTGCTAAGGGGAGGAAAAACAAAAAAACAGACAAAGACGCTAGAATAATCCTCATACTCGTGAAAGAAGAAAACCAGGAAAGACAGGGATGGTAAAAAGCCAAAGCATACTCCAAATGAAAGGTCATTTATTCTGAAATATTACTGAGTCAGGACTTATATAATAAAAGTGTAGAAGAGAGATTATAAAAACAGATTCAAGAAGTACATTCATATTTTGTATGAATAATATTTCCATAAAATTGTACTTTTCCAATATCTGAATTATGCTATTACAGCAAAGACAGTGTTCCTACTATTTTTATTTCAGAGATGTAACTGAGTGTTTGCTTTGTGCTAAACCTTCTTATATTGCTTCATAATGGTTTACTTGGCTTTTCATTTCCTGATATCCAGTTTGCTTCTCAAAAGAATTCCTTCCCCCTTTATGTGGCTGCTGTGTGCTCCTTAAATGTTTATGCGATGAATTTATTTTTATCAACAGACTATAGATTTGTTGTTAATAAGTTGATAGAACATTTTAACAAGATTAAAGCAATTGAGAGGGCTAGACCTAAAAGTCCTCCCTCCACCCCAATAATTGAAAAGATAAAAGAAATGTTTAAACAGACAACCACTTCACACTGGGGTTTAAATTCAAAGATGCTCATTACTTCTGAATCTTTTAAAAAGTACCAGTGTTGTGTGAGAGAGGCAATTAGTACAATCTTTTATCTTTGGAGCAATGTCTTCATTCTTCTGTAGTATCCACAGCACTGAGCATGCTGGGTAACAAAAGGAAAAGAGAGGAACATTTTGCCTGTAACTGCCTTGGTACTCATGGGAGAGAGCGCTTATGAATTCAACTTACAGAAAAGGAAAAGGGCTCAGGGAAGTTTAGGTAATGATGAGAATAATGAAATGGGCAGAGAGAACATCCAGGTCAGCCTCTCCAATAACAGAGATCATGCTCTGAGTGCTGCCTGCCTCGGAAGCTTGTCCTGTAAGAGTCATTTTACCAGTGGGTCTGAGACCTGCAGAAGCAAACTTAAGAGAATGATCCTGCACTTACATTTTAGTCTAGGAATGATTGATAATTGCTGCAAAACCCTGGAAAAAGGAAACTAAATAGACAATAGTTTGGTCCACTGTCTTAGGGTTTTATGACTGTGGACAGACACCATGACCAAGGCATTTAAAAACGTTTACTTGAGACTGGCTTTCAGGTTCAGAGATTCAGTCCAGTATCATCAAGGCAGGAGCATGACAGCATCCAGGCCAGCAGGGTGTAGAAGGAGCTGGAAGATCTACATCTTCATCTGTAGGCCTCTAAGAGAAGACTGGCTTCCAGGCAGATAGGACTAGGCTATTAAAGCCCACGCCCACAGTGACTTCCAATAAGGCCACACCTCCTAATAGTACCATTCCCTGGCCCAAGCATATACAAACCATCACATCCACCATTTCTGTATAGATATTGAACGCTATAAACAATAGTCAATATATGTGGACATTTTCTATGGAAGTTCAAAGTCCTAGAGCAATCTCAACTTCTCCATTTAGAAGTTCAAGGACCTTATACAAATGGATGGACAGCTCTGAGTGGTGATTCTGAGTAGAGTATGAAGCAAGACTGAGTGGATTAAAACCCTTCTTGTCTAAATATTCTTTAATAAATTATTTCATTTCACCAGGCAGTGGTGGCACATGCCTTTAATCTGAGCACTTGGGAGGCAGAGAAAGGTGGATTTTCTGAGTTCGAGGCCAGCCTGGTCTATAGCGTGAGTTCCAGGACAGCCAAGGCTATACAGAGAAACTGTCTCGAAAAATAAAAAAAAAAAAATTATTTTGTTTCTTTATGCCCTGACACTCTCATCTAAATGAGTATAGTAGATTACCTCATTACAAAGGTTTATTGTGAAAATAAAAGTTGAATTTATTGAACTTTAAAACAATGTGTTGCAGATTACTGGGTAAGCATTAGCTTATTAAAGGTTAACTCTGTTAGAGAATAGATATACAGTTCAGTGGGAGAGGGTGTGATTAGCCTGCAGGAGATTCTAGGTTTGACCTTCAGGATGACACCAAAAAAAGAAAACATTAACTGCTTTATTATTTAGGATCTTGGTACGACCACCACTACCAACAACAACAAAAAGCTCTTCAAACAATAATATGTGCATAAGTTACATATATTGGAATTGTATAAATATTAGCGTTTTGACACTATGTTATTCAGACCCTAGCTCCAAATTTTAACTGCGGAATCAAATGTGGATCCTTTTAAAAGACCTTAAAAATTAGCATAAGGTATCTATGCAAATATTAATACACATATTCATATCTGCAGGAAACAAGCTAAGCAAATCCAGGAGCACCTGAAAGAGTCACAGAATGGGAAAAACTACAGCCTCAAGGCATCCAGCACAATGACGAAGTCTGAGAGCTTGATGAAGAGTCATGTCCAACTACAAAACGTAAGCTGCATGTCTTCACAGTCCTTTTGTTGCCTATCTCAGAAATTTTAGGTACAGAGGATGTCTTCGTTAAGGTTTCATTGCTGTGAAGACACATTATGACCATGGCAACTCTTATAAAAGAAAGTGTTTAACAGGAACTAGCTTACAGTTTCAGAGGTTTAATCCATTATTTCCATGGCGGGAAGCATGGCAGTGTGCAGGCATACGTGGTGCTGAGAGTCTTACATCCATACTGGCAGACACCGGGAAGTGGATGCTATGCTGGGCATCTTGTACATCTGAGACTTCAAAGCCCATTCACAGTGACATGCTTCCTCATTCAACACCACAGCTACTCCAACAAGGGGACACCTTCTAATAGTGCCGCTATTGGGCCACTCTCTATGGTCTTATGGGAGCTAATTTTATTCATATCACCACAAAGGGAATAAATAATCTGTGAGCAGAGTTGTATAATTTGTTTGGCACTGTAGCAATATTTGCTTAAATCATCTTCTAGTTATGTGAATGTGTGTGTGTGTGTGTGTGTGTTTGTGTTTGTGTATGTGTGCGTATCTGTTAATAACTGGCCTCTGACAGGGACAAGCATTTTGATTGTTCTATAAAGCACTTTTGGCCTTTACTTTGTGTCAGATATATGTCAGAGATACAATGTCATACTTCTGGAGGCTGATTCATATCCCAGTCAGATTATAAAAAGCAAGGAAAGTTGGTGGTTAGGGTTAACAGAGAAATGAGAAATGTGGTCACAGTATAGCGTCTTCTAGAGCAGGACTGATGCTGTATGTGGATCATAAATCCAGAAGACAAACACACACTCTGCCTGTTTCATTCTTTGGGAAGTACTTTTAGCCATTTGTGAGTTACATTGCAAAATAGTGAATTAGAGAAAATGGGATGCTATCTAACACATGCGGAGATATCCTTGTAGGGTTAATTCTCTGCCCCCACGTGAGATTATGCTTCCAGAATCTGAGGCATAAAATGAAAGAACAAAGGCCATGGTAGAAGCTGGGTGTTTGAGGATAATAGGCAATCACCCAGGACGCATGCATGCCCTTCCAAATGCCTAAATTGCTTAGAATTTGCACATCATTTGTGATTCTAAGAAATCATTACGCAAAAGTTGCCATTATGATGAGTGTAACAGATGTACTTAGCTGATTTAATGTGAAATTCATAAATCTGAATTGCTTCCCAGCAAAGTTTCCTTTTATTCATGGCAACATGCAGGATTGTTCTTTTCAGAAACAGAGAGAATGCCTTTGCTAATGATTTCTGATGAGCATAATCCCAGCACCTTCAACAACCACCATGATGAGGGGTTCAGTTCCTTAGCAACTGGCCCTGTGAAAGATAAAGCCGGACACCTGTTGAAGCGGAAGAAATAGATTGTAATCAATAACGTAGCATCAAATGGGAAAAGGGATCCAACATGAACTGTACTTCAATAGGTTAAACAGTAACCAGGCCTTGTAAAAGGAGGATGATGGGCCTAAGACAGGGCTGAACAAGGGCTTAATCAGAGGCAAAGAAGTAAGAGTGCAAAGGATTGGATGGTGTAAATGCCACCAGGCAGCTGTGTTGTCTGGCTGATCAATATTGGGGTCAGAAATTTACCTTTCCACAGGGCTGGGTGAGAGACTCTCTACCCTTTCTGATGAACCTATTCCAAAAAATGGCCTCTGGGTCCTCAAGAAAAACATGTTAGCATAAGAGATCTATACTTATGATCATGAAACTTTTTCAGAAAATACTTTGGGAAAAGAATCCAAGGACCTCTCATTAGGTATAGTAGGAACAACCCTGAAAGTCCTTTGAGGGTTCTTGAGTACTATTTTGATTCCAAGCAGGCACTTTAAGAAGGAAGAGTCATCAGAGGTAAGCAGAACTGATCTACTGGACTAAGTTAGTATTTGTTCAACTCTTTTAGAGTGGGGTAAACAGGTAGATAAAAGCATCCATGGTGCGAGGCTACAGTTTCTACAGACTATAGGCTATAATAAATGGAAGGAGGCAGGTCTGTAAGAGTTACTGTTTCCTATATGATTGCCACATACTCCTTTGAATTTACTGTATAATTGTCCACAAGGTCAGATCACTACAGTTTCTTCATCCATCCACTGTAGTAGGCAATCTGTTTCTTCTCTATTATTATTATAAATGATATTCAAAGGAAAAAATTACTCATGTTGCCTCCCTTCTCTTTCCCCTGAATAAAATGTGCTTGAAATTATAAAGAGAGAAATGAGCTGTCTATAGGGTTGTCAGCATTTGGAAGACCTTTGACACATATGATTTTAGTGTCTCTACCTCTCATCTGCCTCTTCCTCTTTCTTCTGTAGCCTATTGGACTTAGGACATTTGTTTTCTTCCTTTGTTCAAAATCTTTAATTTAGTTTCTATATATTTTCTTTTTAAAAAATTATTTTATTTATTTACATTCCAGACATTTCCTGCTCCTCGCTCTATCACCCTCCCACAGTTCCTCAACCCATTCCTCCTCCCCCTTGCCTCCAAAAGGGTACTGTTCCCTAACACTAGGTCTCCCCCTTCCCTGGAGACACAAGGCTCTTGAGGATTGAGTGCATCTTCTCTCATTGAAGTCAGAACAGAGAGACCTCTGGAACATTTGTACCAGGGGCCTCGGACCAGCCTGTGCATACTCCTGGTTAATTTAGGCTCAGTTTCTGGGAGCTCCCTAGGGTCTGGGTTAGTTGAAACTGTTGGTCTTCCTATGGGGTCAGTCTTCCTTTTGGCCTCTTCAATCTTTCTCCTAATTCAACCATAAGGATCCCTGACTTCAGTCCAATGGTTGGGAGTAAGTATCAGCTTATGTCTCAGTCAGCTGCTCATAGGGGCTCTCAGAGGACAGCCGTACCAGCGTCCTGTCTGTAAGCACATCATAGCATAGTAGTGTTCGGCCTTGGTGTCCCTCCCCCCATTAGATGGATTCCTAAAAAACAAGGACATCATGAATTTTGTAGGCACATAGATGGAACTAGAAATTATCTTTCTCAGTGAGGTAACTCAGACCCAAAAGGACATGCATGGTATATACTCCCTGATAAGTGGATATTAGCCAAAAACTACAGAATATCTAGGATACAACCTACAGACCATAAGCAGAAATGCTCAAGTGAGGACGTTTCAGTCCCTTAGAAAGGGGGTGGAGAGGAAATAAGAGGCAGCAGGAGGAAGGGACCTAGATGGCAGAGGGGAAGAGGAAGGGAAAAAAAGGAACAGGATAAGATATGGGGGAAGAGACAGGAGTGAAGCCAAGAGAATAAACAGAAATAAGCAGCCTCGGCCAGTGAGGGGGGGGGAGACCCTCTAGAAAGTACCAGACACCAGGAGGTGAGACACTCTCAGGACTCACTGGTAGTAACCTTAGCTAAAATGCCCAACACTGGGGAAAGGAACTTGAAGAGTCCACTTCCAGTAGATAGCCAGGGCCTCAAGTGGAGGGAAGGGGTTACAAACTCACAGTCAAAATTCCTGACCCAGAATTATTCCTGTCTAAAAAAAGAACTGCAGGGACAAAAATTGAGAAGAGACTGAAGGAAATGCGGTCCAATGACCAGACTTAGGACATTTGTATGTTGGCCCAGGGAAACAAGCAGCTCTACTTTACCATTTCCCCTGAGTTTGAGGGAGCGTGTAGATGACATGTTCTTGTATGCATATCATTGTGACACAGAAAAGGAATATGAATTGAAAATGCTTGTTTTCCTACTAGGTTCCAAAAAGAAAACAGATGACCAAGAGGAAAGAGTTAGATCTAAAAATGTATCATAAAGCTAATGCAAGAAGTGCTCTGAAGTGATGAGACAAAGGGATGTTTAAATGACATTTTTTGACTTTTAAATACATATATAGATAAAAATATATGATATTTTGCCATTTATGTATCTGTATATATCCTTCTGGCAAGAACTATTAGGAAATACCAATATCAACAATACATTGTTAAATATAAAGGTGTACTGCTCATTCTGCTCAGGAAAAGAACTTATATACCATTGCTGTGGAGGAGAAATGTGTATTAGGAGAAAGGGCCTTCAGACTATGATGGAGCTTTGAGGTAGGAGAGGATTAGGAAGAAACAACATTTAAAACACATTAAACAAAGCTTGTATGCAAGCACATGCTTGCTTTTACTATCCAGAGAATATGACATTAGGGTAAGAAATTTGTTAGGATATTTATCAACTTAGCTCCTTATATAGTATCTCAGGGCTTTGAAGAGTGACTCTTCAGTTCTACCACACCAAAAGTGGTATCCTGTGCTCATTTTCAAACAGTTCTAAGAGAGGAGGGAGATCTTGTATCCCAAGCAAAAAGCTTAATAAGTAAGCCATATTGTATACCTGCAGCCAGGTAGCCTCTGATTCCAGGTGAAATGGAGGAATTTGCTTCATTGTACGAACCCTGAGAACTCTAAGACTGCACAGCCATAGCAGGTGACCTCCCATCTCTTTGTAGCAACAACTTCACATGGGGAGAGATTGCAAGGAGGGTGTGGGTGCACTGACTTGTAAGCTGTGGCACATCTGTGATGTCATCTACAGAAGACTGACATGAGTTGGGAGCTTGGAAAAGTCACTTCCATGAGCAAGCTAGTAAAGCATTGCAAAGGCCAAGTGCTTTCAGCAGAAGGTGATGTGTCTGTCTTCCTTATAAAGCAAGTCTGGAAACATGTTGACTATTAATATTTAGAGGAAGAGTAGTGCTGGAGTGCAGTAGGCACAGACAAGTCTCCGAAAAACTGTCTATGAAGTGTAGGAGCACTTCCCATAACTAAAAAGCCTCCTTCCTCAAATCCCTCGGGTGCTACAAATAACCAGAATCTATGCTCTGATTGAAAATGTAACCGCTAGACACAGGTGCAACTCCACCCATTGCCATTACCATCTTTTTCCTGTGTACATTTGGATACTTATCTTCATCTCCCAAATGGTAATAGGGCACCTGAGTCCATCATATCCAACTTGGTT